GAGATAAACAATCAGCTTACGCATCGGCTATGGTTTTCCCTGTCCGTCCGTTATATTCAATTTTAAATTGTTATTATTGTTTTTAAATTTTTAATCAAATACTAAATCATTATAGAGTTACTATAAAAATATACATAACTCTTAAAATATTGATTTTAGGAGAAAATCATAAGAGAACAAAATTGTAGCTTAAAAAATTTCCTACAGTTAATGTTTTTATATTATAGATCTATCTTTAATATTTTCAGAGATATAGTCACTTAAGTAGTACTCACACACTCGAAATTGAAAAATCATCATCTAGCCACTATAAAAGTAGTAATAGCTCCTAAAAGATTAATTTTAGGATCAAATCAGTAGAGAACAAAATTGTAACTCAGTAAATTTCCTTCTAGAAAAATTAATGATTTTTATTATGGCATTTTTAGTAAAATAACAATAAGACCCGCTATTCAATAAATTAACCATATCCGACAAAAAAGTAAAATCTCCTAGATGAAACAAAACGTTCTTAACTTAAGAACAGAATCAGACCGTAAGATTTAAAAAAGCAATTAATCATGTAAAATATTAATGGAAGAGTAGTTTAACCCGTTTTACAAGTTGTAAAAGGTACTTACGGGTCCTATCCGTAGTAAAACATACATCACCAAAAATCTTGAGATAAATTTAAACGGTAACTAAACCCAGAGGGCGATTTATCATCTTTTATTAATGCCCGCGGTGCACTTGCTCGGTTGACAGTTCATACATCCGTGACCTCTTTTTCTAAATCCACCTTGATCCTGGATTTCTGTTCTGTTTGGAATGTTCTTGTGAAAACATTACTTTTTAAATTATCTCTCGTAAATCATGTACATATGTTTTTTCCCGCATATACCGATCATATTATATCAAATTTGCGCCTTTTTATCATTTTTAGTTCAAAGAATTTTTTTTGCTATCACTTTTATAGATGATTAATCTTTGTTGAGAAAATTTTTTTATTTGTAATAATAATAATAAAATAAATTTTGAATGACATGAGCTTATCTCTGTTAAAATTATCTTTGGAATAAATACCCACACTGATAGAAGAATTTAGTACAGAGTATACTAAACTGATTTAGTAACAAAATTTTTAGTCATTTATTTGGGAGAAAAAAATATTTTTTACCTATCAATATGATTTGTTACAGTTTAATAAATGATTTTTTTATACTAAATGAATTATATTAATATAAACAAAGCCTTATTACATAGACATAAATATTTGTTTCCACCAAATAATATTTAGTAGTAGGTACTACACGGAGAGAAAAATGTGGAAATCATTCCTATAATTTTAATGAAATATTTTTCCTATACCATTTTAGGAGCGATTACTTAAATTATGGTAATTATACCCATAATTTTTGGGAAACGTTACTATAATTATGGGAATGGTTCCTATAATTATAGGAACGATACCCATAATTATAACTGTAATATCGGCGTGATTCCCATAATATATAGGAATGGTTCCTATAATATATAGGAATAGTTTCCATAATATTATAGGAATAGTTTCCATAATATTATAGGAATAGTTTCCATAATATTATAGGAATAGTTTCCATAATATTATAGGAATAGTTTCCATAATATTATAGGAATAGTTTCCATAATATTATAGGAATAGTTTCCATAATATTATAGGAATAGTTTCCATAATATTATAGGAATAGTTTCCATAATATTATAGGAATAGTTTCCATAATATTATAGGAATAGTTTCCATAATATTATAGGAATAGTTTCCATAATATTATAGGAATAGTTTCCATAATATTATAGGAATAGTTTCCATAATATTATAGGAATAGTTTCCATAATATTATAGGAATAGTTTCCATAATATTATAGGAATAGTTTCCATAATATTATAGGAATAGTTTCCATAATATTATAGGAATAGTTTCCATAATATTATAGGAATAGTTTCCATAATATTATAGGAATAGTTTCCATAATATTATAGGAATAGTTTCCATAATATTATAGGAATAGTTTCCATAATATTATAGGAATAGTTTCCATAATATTATAGGAATGATGTCAATAATATTGGAGTAATTTTTTTTTACACAACTGTGGTATTTAATTAATTACTTTTCACTAGATTTATTTTTTTTTGATTAAGTGATTTTTTTTTTTATAATATATAAATTGATAAAAAAAGTTTTCAGTAATAATATTTATTATTATTATTATTATGAAATTAATCAGTTGCAGCAGTTGATATTTTTTTAATCTTGAATGGTATATATGCTTGTAAATTAAAATAAAATTAATTAAAAAAAAAGTTAATTAAAAAAAAAATTTCTTAAATAAAATAAAATTTCCAATTGTTTTGAAATTTCAAATTTTCAAATGTTTTCGCGGCTCAACGTATGTATTCTAAATAAATAATTTGCTTTGAAAATAAAATGAAATTGTGAAAATAAACAATGAATTTCCATACCTATTTTGCTCCTACAATTGTTTAGTGAGAAAATATCCTTTTTATTAGATAAACTTTAAAATTGCTACAATATTTTTTAATATTATTTAACACAATAATAACTGAGCTGGAATAAATAATTCAAGATTAAGTACAGACGTGAATAAAAATTATGAAAAAGAAATTTTTTCACTCTAGTGAAAGATCAATTTTTATTTACAAAAAAAAAAAATTATTAGCAAAAAAATACATAATAATTACTTTATATGTTTGAAGTGATTGCTTCATTATTAAGAAAATAAACTTTTTTCTATTATTATGTGCGTCATTCCCATAATATTATAGGAACCATTCCTATAATATTATAGGAACCATTCCTATAATATTATAGGAACCATTCCCATAATATTATAAGAACCATTCCCATAATATATTGAAGCTATTCCATTATTGTATAGGAACGTTTCCAATATATTATGGGTATGGTTCCCATAATGAGTATAGGATTAATGCCTATAATGATAATTTTATTATAGGATCCATTCCCATAATTGTTGGAAAGATTCCTATAAATTTCTCTCCGTGTAGATATTGTTTGGTAAATATTGTCGGTAGATGGCTATGCTTTAATTCCAATGTGATACATAACCTAGTCACTGACTCAGATTTTTTTATTCTACTCGATTTTAGGAGATTTATCAAACCTTTGAAAACACACATACTCTCAAATGGCTTATATGTCATTTCTCAGTTGAGTTTAGTTTAAATTTCTCAATTAGTCTATTATGATATGTTAAAAACTTGTTTAATTTTTAATTTTATAAATATCTCAAATAAAAAATTATAATTTAATGAGATTCTTTTTTTTATAATACCTTATATTTTTACTTAAAATTAATTATTTTAATTTTTTTGATTTATTTTGAGTAAAAAAGTTAGGTTGTAAGCTGAAATTAGTTAAAAAATTTCTTTAATACCAATAAACGATTTATTGAGTACCAATAAATAATAATTTGTTAAAATACTACTAAATATTTATTTGGTGGAAATAAATGGGCTAAAGAAATAAACCATAAAGAAATAAAGCCAATAAAGAAATTTCTTTAATACCAATAAACGATTTATTGAGTACCAATAAATAATAATTTGTTAAAATACTACTAAATATTTATTTGGTGGAAATAAATGGGCTTTATTAAATAGAACTGAATCTTTCTATCAGTGCATGTGTTTATATTGCCTGGAAAATATCAACTGCGAAAAAACCATGGAATTAATAAAAAAGTTAAAAATATTGATTTTTTTTCAAATTTTTTATAAATTTTAATGTTATGATAATCAAAAAGGGATTATTTCAAACAAATTTTTAATAATAATAATAATAAATTTCGTTAAACAGATAAATAAATTTGATAAACAACACAAAAGTATTTAATTAAAAACCAACCCGCGAGCCAGCGGTCTCGCGAGAAGAGAGAAGAGGAGAAGTAGAGGGTAGAGAACAAAGAGTAAAGAGTAAAACGGAGAGAGTAGAAATTTTATCGGGAAACATTAATTGCTAAAGTGTGTATCATTATTTAATGATCGGGGCTGAAAACCGCACCGCAAAACCATAAATTAATATTTAATATTTTTTAAAACTTTCCCTCGGAAAAATAAAAGTGCATATGTGCACGTGTGTGCAAGTGGGTGTGGGAGGGTGCAGTGTCAGAACTCGGTGTTTGTATTTATTTAGGAAAATACCACGTGCAATATAACGAGGTCCGCGATCGGCACTACCGGGTATTACTCTTCTGTACATATTCCACTTGCGGTTCGGGGCCTCTGCATACGATCCGTATACATATGTGTATTTCGTAGTGTCATCGAGTACATGGCCTTGCTAATTTTTATTTACTTCTATCTATATAACTATGTAGAAGTTCAACCAGTTAATTTTCAACACTCAATTTTCATCTACTCTCTTTTAATTTTTTATCAGAAACGCTTTTTAAAGCCTTGGCAGAAGAAAGAGTTAACCAAAAGAATTTTAGTCTTAAAAAATATTGGTTAGACTCAAAGCTTTTTCAGAATTCAAAAATTTTTCTATTAAGATTAAGATTTTTGTTACAAAGTAGAGGACTTGGAAATTTAATAAATATTTATCTGAGCTGAAGAAGTAAATACATAACTGAATAATATTAATGTTATTGGCTTGAAAATATTTATTTTTGTTAAATCAATAACATACTATTGTGTTAAATTTTACACAAATTAATGTTAAAATATTCTACAGAGGAGCCTAAAATTTTTGACGCATCTAAATGTTAAATGTTTACATATTAAAATGTTAAAAAGTTATTTTCCCAAATTGAAGTAGTCAAATGCATAACCTCAATAGTTATAGTTAAAAACAATTTAAGTTTTCAAATATGGACTATTTTTATATCAAACAGGGGACTAGTTGATAATACATAAGAATATATACAAAAGTAAAAATTTTTTTTTTTCAATAGTTTGACAGTTTTATTTTTATTATTACAAACAGTAATTAGAATAGTTATAAAAAATATTCCGTTGGGATAACAAATTGTTTATCACTAGTTTCATATAATTGCCAGTTTTTAGTGTAAGGCAAGTCGGATATTTTTTGTATAAAAGTCTTTGAATTATTAACAATTAAATATCCTAGACATGATGTTGATATGTCTATTGTTTTCCATGATTCACAAATCACAAACAATTCATCATAGATAGAAAAAAAAAGTACAGATCTACTGAAAATGGGTAAATTATTTGAAAAGGTAGTACAGATAAATTTATTTTTCAAGAGTTCTGAACCCATGAATTTAATGCGTTTCCCAACAGTAATTTTTATTTCTTCAGATAGTGAAAAATGATCTAAAATGATTAGTTTGTATTCTAATTTACTAATACTTATTTCTCGAGTTTCTATAAGATGTGATTTAATATCATTATTCCAAAAACATGACATGGATTTCTGATTACGCTCAGCTAATGTAAATCCAATGTCTATAAAATTTTTCAATTTCTCAGCATAACTTTTGAGAAAACCGTTCTTGCTTTCGTACCGCATAGTCCACTGATTTTTAGGAGGACCCATTTTTCTAATAATCATTGGATAGTGAGTCACAATATGATCTTTAAGTGTTAGATTTGCTGCGTAATTACTAATTAAAATATTGTGATGCATTGTCGTACTTGTTTCTAAATCTTGCAACATTTCTAAGGTAATTTTAGGCGCTAAGGCAATTTTCAGCATTTTTATTAGTAACAATATCATGTACCATTTAACATAATCATTTTGTTTTATTTTCAAAATCGTATCTTTTATAATTAATGGTAGAAAAGTAATCAAGCAAAGAGTTTGTGCGGCATGTTGTCCAATACTATTTGACGTTTTGCTAATTTTAATACCACTCGGAATATTCGGTCTATTATTCAAACCATAGTCAAAAGCTTGTATTCGCTCATTTAATTCTTCTAGAGAAATTAAACGTCACTTTCTTCAAAATTTTTTTAAACCAACAATATTTTCCTTGAACCAACATATCCATTTTTTGTATGTACTCCTCTCAAGAATATATAATAAAATATTAAAGGTTTAAGTTGGATATTAACCTGTTCGCAGCTGTGTCTGTAGGGCATTTTTTGCCGGGGTATTAAAAAAAAGGTGTAGCAAAATAACGTCGTCGATAACCTCGCACGTGTATCGATTCCTCATTCCTACGGGGTAAGCTTGTGTGCTCGTAAAAGCTCAGCTTTACAATGTCACGCGTTTTATTCCTTATGTATTATTTTTTTATTATTATTATTATTATCTGGCGTACCGTATGTATTGTCCTTTCCATTTTTTTTGCTTCCTCTTGTTCTTGTTCTCCAACCATATTCTAACACTCGGGGATTTTGCAAAGAAAATTTCCTGGTATCTAAAATAGGAGCAGCGTCCCGGGTGTGCGCAGTTTGCGAATTTAAGGGATGAAAATGTGTATATATATCCATAAATATATATATACATATACACATACAACATATAAAAGAAAGCAGCCCGTTGTCGAGACGGTGGTTGTGCGAAAGATCGTCGAGGTGGTACGTTCCTCTGGATTATACCGGTGTAATTTATTACTTAGCTTACATAAAAAATAAATAGTATTAAACCTCAGAGCTCTTTTTCCCCGACTGAAAATTTCCGTACATAAGCTTGCTACACCGGTAGTATTTTTAAACCTTTTGAAGTACGATACTCCAGTTTTACACTTTATAAATATTTAATGAATTTTTTTTTTTTTAATTATTTTGGTTCAATGTTATAGTGCAAAAATATGGGTTATTTTAATTTAATAAATATACTGTAAATGGTATTTTTTAATTAAAAGAGAAAAGGTATTTTTAATTATTTTCAGTTTATTATTAGAGATCTCGAGTTTTTTTTAATTAACAATAAATATTTCAATGGATCAAATTTTTTTTTTGTGTATGGAGAGTCATAATAAAGAATCACTAAAAACCGTGGAATTGAAAAATATTTCAGCATAATATAGTATATTACGTCCCTAGGCCAGAAAGTTGGATTTCCTGGCGTATGTGATATGATGGCCGAGGCTTCGCCTCGGCCATCATATCACATACGCCAGAGCATCCAACATTTTGGCCGTAGGTCGTATACTATTTTTCTTGCTCCCCCGCCGAAATTACGTTTAACAATAATAATAATAAAGATTTCTATTAGCTTCTGACCATTCGTCTCAATATTATCACAAGAACTGATCATCACAGCACGTGTATTTTGCAAAACCGAGGCGAAGCCGAGGTTTTTGCAAATAGCGGGGGGCGGGCGGGGGCGCGCCCGACTTTTGCAAAACCGAGGCGAAACCGAGGTTTTGCTGGTCGGGGCGCGTATCAAAAATATATGAAAATTGAAATTAAACGATTGTAACGAAGGTCAATAACACAATTAAAAGTAGGAAATTTACGAAATTTACACTTTAAATACCACTTTATTTCAGTAATCAAAACTAGTAACATAAATTGTCAGTAACTTCAACATAATTTAATTTTAAAAATAGAATAGTTAAACTCAATAAATCATATAGTATTCCAATTGGGAAAATAATACTTTAAGAAATATTTTCTTTATCACAATCACATTTTGTCAAATTAAAAACACAATTATTGAACGTACAGTTTTCAAATTTAAAAGCATGATCTTTCGTTGTTAAATCTAGATTGTTATTATTTTGGTTATTTAAATTCTCAGTATGTCTTTTTCTCTTGATTGGCGGAGGTTTGCTCGTTGTCTGATGATTTAAAAAAGATAATTTAATCCCTGATTTGGCCGTGAATGGTAATTTATATTTATTATTATTTTTATTATTATTATTATTATTATTATTATTATTATTATTATTATTATTATTATTATTATTATTCATTATTAGTTGGTTTTGAGTCTTCTGTGGCACAAAAAGTGGCTTTTGATTCGCTGTAGTAAAACCAGTGGGTACGACGGTTGGAACTGAAAAATAAAACGTGAATTTGAAATTGGGATATAAACGTATTTTGTTAAACAAGTATTGTCATTTTTACTTACTCGAAGTTTGTTTAGGGTCCGTTTCAGTAAAATCATCCTTAAAATCTGACCAATTTAAATCGATAAGTGCTGATTCAAACTCGTGGGTTTCTTGTTCGGTGTTAACATTCGCTTCTTCGGGATTAATCGTTGAATTTTCGGGGTTAACAGTTTCTTCATGAGCGTTGATGGTTTCTTCTTGGGAATCAATGGTTGCGTCTTGAGCATTATTAATTACGGATTGAGGGTATAAAATGTCGGGTTCTGCTGTGCTGGTTGATGGTCGGGGTTCAGGAATTACCTCGGTCTCATTCTGGATTATTCCATTGAAAATCATCTGCCTGTTGTGTAAGGAATTTTCAACGTAGCCCTGGGCGATCACATCTGATCGCCATCTCCCTAGCTGTTTGATCATCTGCATGTTCGCGCCGGAGTTCGAGAGAAGCATTGCAGATGATCTTCTAAAGCAGTGGCAAATAAGTCGCAATTTTTTTCGGCATCCCTCCTATAGTATGACGTCCTATAGGAGTTCGAGTACATCTGTTTTTCGTGTATTGGATGAAAAACCTGTCATTACCAGATGGTCTCTTGGAAATATAGGTTTTAACTTCAGCGTAGAAGAGATTCCCAATAATAAATTGGCCAGGGTAATCATTTTTATTGTCATTGATAGATATTAAGTACCTCCCATTCAAATCTTCTCCGTCTCCAACTTTCATGTTTGTTAATTCTAAACATCGTAAGCAGCCACATATTCCAAATATTAATACAACCTGTAAAAATTATGATTAAATATGACAAATGTAATTAAATAGTTATAATTAAGTGCGGAAATAATCTTTTGTTACCTTCACTGCTAAATATTCTGAGTCAGGAGCTTCATCAATAAATTTTTTAATTTGTTCCCATGTTAAAATAAAAGATTTCTTCGGTCTGTGTCCTTTAGCATTTTGTTTAATCATACTTTTTAAATTTAAGAAATTATTTATCTGTATATCATCATTGGTATTTAATGTCTTTTTTTTAGCATACTCCACACGCTCCATAGAGTTAATGGACTTAACCTTTTTTTTAAATCTTTAAAATAAACAATTAAATTGTTTTCTTCTGACGTCGAGAGGGAATTTTTATTTTTTTCCTTCCAGTTTTTGTAGGCATTATAATTTTGCATGTATCGATCAGCTGATTTCTTTGGTAACGTTTCACTCTGCACAATAACTTTAGCTTCTTTATCAAATAATCGCAGCACTTCTTCTTCATCAGTGGAGCCTTCAGACGAAGAGTCCATTTTTTTGTATTTATTTTTTGGAGTTAATTTTATTTTAATTTATTTTAACTAATAAATGTTTGAAATAGTGTTGAACCTTATATTAAACTTATTAAGCACTTATTATAAATTTATTATGAAATTTTTGCTATTTAATTTATTATGATTTTAGGATATTATTATCACACGAAAATAATCGTAGTTTAACGTTTAACAGTTCTGTCATAATGACTTTTGTGGTTGTGTTATTGTAAACAATGACTATTGCTATATTAACAAAAACAATTGCTGCAGCTCGAGCAGGCCATGAAAAGTCGCTCATTCTGGCGTAAAATGCGGCCAGAAAGAGCGTACATTCGGCGGGTGGAGCAAGAAAATTTATTTTTTTTATTTTTCATGTATGTACTATTGTTGTAGCACTACTCACGCGACGATATCTCCAAAAATATTGAATATAGACCGATATAATATGAAATTTTTTTCTAGAAAATTTACTAAGCTACAATTTTAATTTCTTCTCTTTATTTCTCAAGATTATTATTTTAGAAGTTATAAAAATTATTGATAGTGATTAGATAATTATTTTTTAATTCTCACTACGTAAGCACTAAACTTAATCAAACTTAAGTGACTACGTGGAAAAAAATCATATGAAAAATTACAATAGTAACATCGTAATCTAGGACTAGTCTTTTAATATCTTAACTTCTATGATTTTATACTTCAAAAATTACTATTTACTCATTAATTTTTACGATGTTAACATCATAATTATCACAAATAATGTAAGTAATAAATAACATAAAAATTCTTACGATGCTGCCGTCTACAGAATACAATTTTAATTATTGAAAATTACGATGTTATTTAGTAAATTTTTTTTCCGTAAGAGCAAGTGAATAAGGACGCATACTATATGTTTTAATAAAAGAGAGACAGAGTCCAGTAGTTTGCGACGCAGCCACCGAAAGATGACCAACTACTGTATGGAGGGTCTTATTGTGTGACTGAACGGAACTTTTGGATATTTCTTCAGATAGCGTAAGAGGATAAACCTTGGGCTTGTGATGGAGAGAAAACCGGGTTCGATTCTTCGGTATTTCAAAATCATTTTTTCGGTGATCGAAACTTCTTTTTAATTTGAGTGAGATTAAGAAAAAATATTATTATAGTAACATCGTAATTTATATTGTGGTGTATAAAACTGTGCGTAAGTTTGACCAGTACAATTCTTTGAAAAAAATTTACGATGTTGCATCGTATAAATTATTGTGTTTGAGTTCTGGTCCGGCACTACAATGTTCTATACTAAAAATTACGATGTTTTCATCGTAATTTTTCGTATAATTTTCTTTCCGTGTACATCTCTAAAAATATTGACGTTAGACCGATAGTATAACATCATTTTCTATAGGAAATTTTTCAAGCTACACACCAGTTAACAATTTGGAAAAGATTTTTTACAATTTACTATTCTAATTTTATCAAAGATTATTGTATTAAATTTTATCAGAAAAAATACGATATTTCTATCGTATAAATAGTAAGAGAATAAAAAATAAAATGTAAAAATATTATTTTGGTATTAATTTTTAAAATTTCCAGCGCTGCCTCTGTATCTTTCCAATAGTCCCAACAAATTTTACGATAGTTGAATCGGAATCTTTTTCAATTAGTATAAGTGTTGGCCGTACACAGCGATAGACTTCGAATTTATGTAAATCCTGACAGACATCTGTTGTAGTTTACCTTGGATAGCGTAGCGGGAGTCTCTAGCTACTAACTAAAATTTCTGGGTTCGATTCCCGGTCG